TGGGAAGCAAGACCCCTCAAAAAAAAAAAAGACCCCTCCATCTCCCCCACCAGATACTCAGGCTCCTGATGTTTCCTGAAGTATCTGAGGGGTTCACAGACACCTGAAGGGCTTTTCACCTTTATGTTAACAATCCTCAGGTTGATATGTTTACTTTAAAATTGTGTTGAAAAGGTACTCCTTTTGGTGAATGCACCCCGGCTTTTCTGCATCTCCATCCAGCTACACGTCTGCAGTGTAAGGGAAGCAGGGGACTAAGTCCCAAAGCCCTTTTCCAAAGAACAAAAAGCGCCCCCATCGTTGGGGCCTCTCCAACGACGCCCCAGCCCCGCCCCCGGGCCCTGCGAGGCCGGCCCGGAGACCCCGCGGCCTCTGATGGGCTTCGGCTTCCCCGGGCTCGCGGTGCCACCTGCTGTCCGCAGCACGTACTGCGGGCGCCGCTCGGGAGCCCTACCTGCCCCGGCTCCCTTCCCTCTCCCCGTGGAGAGAACAGGGGTCTCTGGGTGAAAGTCAATGTTGGGCACCGCGGCCGCCCGCCACATGGGGACAGAACTGAGGCTTGGGACCCGACAGACGTATCTGGAGTCAGCCTCTGGCCCAAAGCTTCCCTGCTGCGTGAACTGGAGGTGTTTTCTTATCTGTTAATTGGAGATATCAGTATCACCTGCTGAGATGCCCGGGCGAATTAATTGAAAAACTCGCCCAGCTCGGCGCCTGGCACCTGCTGTCAATTAATACGTGTCTTTAAATTGATTTATGTTTTCCAGTGAAGTTTATTTGTAAATTAAGGAACTTTAGCCTGGTTGAAGCAACTCTATTTTTTTCCCCAATACATGGTAAAATAAATACATAGGTATTAAAATTAGAAAACAATTTTTCCTCCGTGTACCACATTCGGTAACACGAGACCTTGGCATCAATTGCAGAAACTGTGCCCACCCATGGGCCTCTCCTCTCTCTCTCTCTGCCTCCTTCCACGTTCCAGCGACAGTCAGTCCTCACCTGTCCCCTCTGGAACACAGCAACACCAGGATGCAAAGACCCCAGTGGGGTTTTATCCCCCTCAGGTGATACTATTTGCCTAGCAGAGATCTGAATTTGGAAAAATGAATTTTGTTGTCTCTAAGATGTCATGCCACTTTCACTGCTGATCATTCCAAGAAAAGAAAAACAAAAGCTTGGCAGAGACCAAGGTGGGTAAATGCCTTGTTTATTAAAATCAAAATGAGCTCTGAGCCCCTGAACTCATGCAACAGAAGCCTATTTTTTCTTGCTTTTATTCAGCTCCCTTTCATCTGGCAGATGGAGTTTGCGCTCACATTCGTGTTCCCCATTGCCCAAAAGAGCACAGGTTGCTCGGCTGCTGATCTTAAAATGAAATAACGTTAGAGCTGCGTAGACTTCATGTACCTGACAGCTAACATTATTTCTGGAGGTCTGAATGCCACCGCAATGCCTACAGACAGTGTGGGCTCTTGCCATCATGTCTCCAGGCTGCTCCGCTCAGCAGAGCTGTCTGAAACACACAGGGCCACTTCAGGCCAAACTGATTTACAGACACAACATAGACTTGCACTGTGACTGATCTGCAGTTTATTAAGCAAACAGCACTGATGATTCTACTCTATGGCCATGATTAGGGATGTCTTGGTAGAGAGCTTCCTGTGTTTATGACCAGTCATATGCTGTTTTTAAATGTTGCTGGAGATTGCCAGCACCACACCCTCCTCCAGGCTAAGCAGTCTTGACTCTATAAGTCTCCCATTTTCCCCCTACATGGAAATAACTCGGTTGTTTTTATTAAGTAAAAAGTAATTCAAATGTGTTTTTTAAAATTCTGACAATACGCAAGTGTGTAAGAGATGAAACAAGAAGTTCCCACAGCCCCACCCCCAACCACCCTGATTCAAGTGCTTCTCAACGAAGCACAACTTCAGGCAGACTTACTAGTTCCAGTGTCAAACCAGCCCAGCCTGGCCAGCGCTGGGCAAACATGAGTTGGTTCCCTTACCAGGCAGAGTTTGAGGCCATATAGAGTGGAGGACAAAAAAGTCATTCAGGAATTCTGGGCCTCGTATTCCCTACTCCTTGGTCCCTAAGAAAGATAACTGATGATAAGTTCAGTAGAATTGGTTGTTAAGGTAAATAACTAATGGGTGTGGGGTCCCAGAATTGACTTTAGGAGGAGGCTGGTGAAACCCAAATAAATCCCTGTCACTGTCTCAGTCATTGTCCAGGGACCTATTTGTCCCCCAGGTTTATAGTTTTAAGTGACTGCTTCAAATCTGATCAACCTTCGTGCCCATCTCACCATGATTTATGGATCCCAAATAAGGAAGTCCATGAAGGATCTTGTTTTCTGATCCTGGACCTGCTGGGCTCTGGACCCTCCCACTTTTTGAAGCCCCAGCTTCCCACCCATCACCCATCCCTACCAGGGTAAGACTCGAGACACTGCAAATTCAGATGCCAGTGTGCCATGCAGGTGGCAGAAACCAGTGGGCCAGGTGGGGACTGGCAAACTGGCGGGTACAGGCTCAAGGGAATATTCGTTTCCCTGTGGGACTGAGGGTCCAGTGTTGCCAGATCTTGACACTTCAGAGAAACCATGAATCTGGATCTATGGGGAAACTTTCTGCTTTTTAAACGTTGGCAGTTAATTCAGTTTAATATACAGGGCAGTTCAAAGGAACGTCTGGGGGGAAGCCAGCTCGCTACCTCTTGTTCACTGGGCAGATTGTCCTGCAAAAGGCTTTGCACAGAGCAGGCTCACTCCTCGCTTCATTATTCATCCCACGAGCAGTGGACACTTACGAACCTTTGCCGGTTATTATCCCAAGGCCAAGTGGGCTTTGAGGAGCTGGGAGGGGCCTGTTTCTATCAATTGCCAGGAAATGTGGTGCAACCTCAACTCTGATAACATTGCAAGTCCCTGGGGGCCACTTCTACCAGGGGATGGAGTGTGTTTTCTCTAGTTTTATTTGAACTAGAGTGGCCTGAGGGCACCTATGAAGGGCAGGTTTTCTGCATTTTTCAGTCCTCAGCTGCTTTTTAACAGGTGTAAACTCTGTCCTGGCCTTCCACAGCTGCCAGTATGCCTCTTCCACTGGTCACGTCCGTATATATGCATTTTATAGTTGACAATGTTTCAGGTGTATGACTGTATAATTTTTGCTGTCAAATGTCATCGCTCAGAAACTTTCCTGCTCCCTTCCCCAGTGCCCTGGCCAGGCTGCCTGCCTCTTCGGGCTCCATCAGATCTTGGGCAAATGGTAGGCCACACTAGTTATTACTCTTCTTCCTCCTCAGTAATGGCTGGGCACATGGAGGGGTCATTTCTCAGCCTGTCTTTCAGCGAGAAGTGGCCACATGACTCCACACTGGCCAGAAGGATGCGAGCCAAAATGCCGTGTGAACCTTCTCTGAATTGTCCTGAAAGGAAAGGGGGCATGCCTTTCGGTTCTGGCAGGAACCAGAATAGGGTGGCTGGGGCTCCAGCTGCCATCTGGGTCCATGTGATGACCTTGGAAAGGAAAATCACACCCAGGAGGACTACAAGATGGGAGCCGAGGTCTCTGACATTGCAGTGGGCCAGGCCTGCCTCGGCCAGCAACAACTACCTGAACGTGGGAAAGAAACGTTCTTATTTAAGCCGCTATTATTTTGAGAATTTTTGTGGTAACTGAACCTATTCCAAACTAATGTCCTCCCCCATCACTGCCTCATGCCTATCTTGTGTGAACTTGGACCCATGCTGAGTGAGAGAGTTTAAAGAAATTCAGCCTGTATGTGACCCTCCGCTCACGGGCTGGCACTGCTCTTCTCCATGGTTAGAGTACTTACTACTTACCCTGGAGTCCCCTGAGGACTGACACCCAGGCTGTTCCCCTACAAGGACCCAGGGAGTGGCTTCTTGGTAGGGACACTCTTACATCACATTTCTGGCCCATGATACAGGATCTGGTACTACTGTGTATAAACACCAAAACTGGTTTTTCTGAAAGCAGCAGAGAATATCTAAAATAAGTGTTTTCCACCTCAGGAGGACCCAGTGATCCAATCTAGGCCAAGTCCGTGTCCATCTGTCCATCCTGTGAGTGCTAAGAATCTCTCTTTGCTCACAGCTTAGTGTTTTACATATGCTTATGGGCACTTTCCTGGGAATATGATGGTTTAGGGCTGTCATCATTTTCAAATGAGAACTGTGATCTCACAAGGTTAAGAATCATTGTATTGGCTGTTATAAAAAAAACAATTTGTAAATCTTAAAAATTACTTACTTGCTTTCCACTACGGTATCTATTTCCTTCACACACACACACACACACACACACACACACACACACACACACACTCACTCTCTCTTAAAATGAGCATCTTTTAGAGAGTGATCACAACTTACTTTTCCTGTCCTGGAAAAATTATAACACTTAAATATATTTGTGAATATTTTTTCTACCTGTTATAAGCTCCTTTCTAAAAAATAGGATTTTTATCTAAGAGAAATATTTTAGAAATATTTATAATGCAAACAGAAGAAAGTATGGTTAAAGCTGGAAACTTCTTGCATCATTTCACTTTAAGTATAAACCTGGCCCAGAATGGATATATTCTAAAAATCGGCTGGTGCTGGGCCTCCTACTGGCGGCTCTGGGCTGGAGCTGATAACTCCTTTCCAGAGGAGTGCTCGTAGTCACACGTGCTGCTGTCTCAGCAATGTTCATGCTAGCACCAGGTCAACAACTGATGAGCCACTTTCGTCTTAGTTACAAAACAGAGATATAATACGCATTTAATTTCATTCAATAGATCAATTCCATTTATCATCTCTTAGAAAAGTTAGGAGAAAGCAAACATTAAGACATGAAAAATTACATTAAAGATGTGCGGCATCCTGGAGAGTCACAAGCGCACACCGGGCAATGAGTTGTTGTAATTCAAACGGACCACAAGAAGAAACGTCAAATTACTGTCATTTATTGCTGTATCTATTCTTTCCCAGTATAGCTATCATAATTTAAGTAGCCACAAAGTGCCACCTTCTGGTTTAAAACCGCAACATCTCCTTTATTTCTTTTTAAATGCCATTTTATGGTGGACGTATAAAGCAACAGCAGCAGTTACAAAATGTTGTCTGAGTAATTCTGAGAGCTCAAAACAAGGATCTATGTATATAGGCTGAATAAAAAGATGTTCAATTAATAGTGCACATTGTGTAACTTTAATAAACATCTTTAGTTGGAAATTTCGTGTAAACCTTAATAGAGATGTGACTCATGGAGACCAAAAGTAAAATAACTTTTCCTTTCATGGGTTAGTGAGGTGGTCTGCATTCTCTCAAACAATTTACAAAATACAAGAAAGGTGGTGTGTGAGTACTAGGCATAAAACATTTCGTTTTCTTACAGAGGAGCAGCAGGGGGACAGGAAGGCCAGTGGACACCCTGTCACCACCTTTCCAAAGATGCACACCCCCAAGAACGGCAGTGGAAACCTGGCAGCAAGCCACCCTAACAATTCTTTTTGGTTGTTTTACAATACAAGCACTTTGCGACGTTTCCCTCCCCAGCCATAAGCCTACCCTGACTTAGCAGGATACAAGCCCAGGTCCTCTTGCTTAGTTTTCCCCTTGGAACTATTTACAGGATGCCTACAGATACAGTACAAACTAGGATGAAATTAATGATCGTTTTCATTTCCAGACCGGCTTCCATGGTTAAATAAGCACACCAGGCCAACTCTGAAGGTGGTTCAAAGTTAAGGTGACACCGAGGCATTTGCATCCGTTACTGCAGAAACAGGCTTCTCAATGGCTGGGGCGGATTCGCTGACTCTGTCCTCGGCAGTGGTGGGGGCCTTGGAAGTTGGGAGCATCACATCCAGAGCGAGTGCGGAGGCAGCATCTGCCCTTGCAGTGGTCGTGATAGGGTCGGAGGGTAGGTTGCCAGTGGGTGGGAGGGAGGGCAGCAGCTCCCCAGTACCTGCTGCAGAAGACACCTCTGGAACCAAAGGGAATGACGGGAGGAACTCGGATGGCATGGGGAGAGGTGCAATGCCAGGTAAGTTTCGGGGAGGCAAGGAAGGAAGAGGTGGCAAACCTAGGACAGAAATGGCACAGATCATACATCCTCCCAGCACTTAAGGGGCTGAAGTCATTGTCACATGTCTACTTTTATTTGTATTTCACTAAGGAAACTGAAGCCAAGGAAAGACAACACAAATCACAACCTCTGCTCATCCTCAGGTGGAGGCCAGGACAGAGTTAAATAGTCACTGTAAGAACAGCTGGCTTCCAGGCTCCTAGGTGCCCAGGCTCTGTGGGCCTCAGGCCAGCACAGGGAAGAAACGATTCTCCCAGTTGGCACGGACAGCAGCCCATACAGCAGGCAATGCAGCTACACTAAGCGTTGGACAGAACTCCTGCTCACCCAGGAAAGCTGCAAACTGAGTTAGGGCTGCCCTCTGGACAGAACAGAAACAGGGACACAGAAGCCAGCCCTGCGGGGAAAGCTACAGAAGGGAGGAGCGCGTCACGTAGCCTGGCATTCGCCTCACCATAACTACCCAGCCTCTGTTCAAGTCCTGTGATAACTATTTATATTATACTTGGTGGGTTTATTGCGATGATTTTAAAATGCAGAATAAAGGGAAAGTTTTACTTCTTTAAGAAACAAAGGAAAGGCAGGTTGTACAACAGGATCAGCGCAACCACTGGGCTGGTGAAACCCTCAATTTGGGGAAAGGATAAAGAAGCCAAGAATACGGGGCACAAAAGATAAGACAAAGGGAGCACTAAGACAGTAAACATTAATTTGAGTTTATAGCAGCAATTAAAAGTCAGCCCTGACATGTGGCCATCTCAACGTCAAAGGTACCTGGGTAATCCATTAACTAGAAGGGCAGACCGTGGGGTGTTCTGCTGCCTCATATTCATCAGTGCATGAAGTCTGAGTGTGAACACTTTGAATATCTGCTAACTTAACTATTTACCACTAAGATCTCTCAGTTTTCATTATAAAAACATTTGCTAATAATGGAGAATATTTATTAAATAACAAGCCCAGCCAGATAAGACAGGGTAATAGTTTCGCAGTCTAAGTTTCTGGGCCTGCGCAACACAAGATGGGCACCACGGATGGCAGCGCCCAAACAAGGAGAATCACAGGAGCCATTCACCTGCCCTGGGGGAGCCGTACACCTTCCATCCAATTTAGGTACAGCAGTGCCACGTGACACAACTGGTCTGCATTTCTACAACTGGCCTTTATGGTGCTTGAGCTGTCAGGGTGCAGCGGGAGGAGAAGAGGGGAGGAGAGGCAGCCAGGTGGAGGAGAATCGCAAAGGTGTATTTCTTGATCTTTTTTTTTAAGCTTTTTAAATAAAAAAGATTAATATTTCTTTGAAGCAGCTGAAATTTATTACACTGATCTCCCTTTTCCAGAAAAAACTGAAATAGAAGACTGGCTTTCCTGGGTAAGGCTTTTATTAGACAGAGCCCTAGGAAGGCACAGTGGGCAACATACCCGCGTTCACGAGTTCTGGAAGGCTGACACTGGGCAAGACGTGCGGTGCGGGGAGGTTGAGGTTGGGGAGGGCGGGCAGGTTAGGGAGTCCTGCTGGTAAGGGCATCAGACCTGCAGACAAGAAGAAAACAAAGGTTACCACTTACCCTGGGGAAAACATTCAATCCTGTGTATTGAAAAAAATACTAACCACTTCCAAATGAGAGCGATCCACTTGCTGTGTGGCAGTTTTGTATCATAACAACATTAACAACAAGACAATCTCACCTCAGCACAATGTCTTTCTATACCTAAGTGATCAGATGTCTATGTGGGGAAGCGTTAAAACAAATACGAATACATGTCCTTCTAAACCTGAGAGTAAGAATGGTCAGGCCTGCGTGTTCCTGAGAAAGGGCTGATTTATCCCAGTAAGTGTGTGGTAGTAGAGGGAACTGACTATTTCTTTGAAAGTCTCTCTGGCTTTTTTTTTTTATTCTGAAATAATTTCAGACTTAGTTGCAAAAAGCAGTTGATATAAAAAAAATCCCCATATACGCCTTTCACTCAAATTCCCCAAATGTTAATGTTTTACCACACTTGCTTAATCACTGTGTGTGTCTGTGTGTGTGTACACATTTGGTTAATGGCTTATTATGTTTGTGTAATGACTACTTTACCCATACAATTAAAGGCTCTCACAATGCAAATATATTCGATTACTGAAATATTTGATCGTTATCTACTGGATAAAGGGATTGGTCTTCCCTGAGAATAGTAAGAGAAATAAACTAAAATCTAACTTAGTGTTAGAGCTACTGAAAACTCAAATAAGGACTACTCTCTTCCAGGACACAGTGTGTATTCACATAAATAACTATTAGAAAGCCCTAAACTAAGGAAGCTGAAGAACAGAGCTTTTACATGTTCCTTGTTCCTGCCTCAGGTTGCACAGGGGTGGGGGGAGGCGTGGGGGTGGGGAGGTACTAGTAAGGAGCCCAAGGCTCAGCAGCTAACTAGCTGGTGACTAACAGCTTGTTGACACTTGCTCTCATTTATCACAAAGTTACAGCAGAGATAAAATGAGATTAAAAGACAAAGGTCACCACATAGATGTCAGACTTTTTTTTTTTTAAGATGCAAGGTAATGTTATTATTATTATGCACATCTCTAGTCTTCTGCCGCTTACCTGGTAATGTAGTAGCTGGATTCATTGATGGCACAGAAGTGAAGGACTGGTTTACTTGTGGTGGCAATAATGGTATTGTTGGTACACCTAGAATAAAACCACAATCTTTAAAAAATTCCTGACCAATTCAGTTTACAAAGAATGAACAGACTAAACAGTGTTCAGTCCCCTCCCCGCATGGTCAGGTCTTCACTCAGCGGGGCTTCATGTAGTCTGGTTTCTGGTACATCACTGTACGTCCGTGATCTATCTACTCTGCCCAGGGCCCTTAACAGGCTGTTTAGCAGAGCCTGGGCCAGAGGGCGGGAGGCTCTGCAAAGCCAGCCAGCTAAGCCCACTGGATGGGAGTTTATACTTGACCTAAGCAGGGCTAGATCAGAAAACTGTTTTAGAAATTTGGAAAAGGGAGAGAAGAATTCTAGTCAAGGTCTATTGGGCTCATGAACTCAGCTAAAATGAACTGAGGTGATGATTACACAACTCTGAAAATATACTAAAAAGAAAAACAAATAATGAATTGTATATTTTAAATAGATAAATTCTATGGTATGTGAATTAGATCTTGATAAAGCTGTTAAAAAAAAGAAAAAGGACTATGTGTATTAGGTAGAACAAGGAATTAAAAAAGGAAGGAAATAGACACACGTCCCCAGAGCAAGACTGAGGCCCTAGGAAAGGAATGGTATCCTGCTCACTTCTGTACCCCGTGCCTACTATCTAAGGGATATGCAAACATTTGTTGAGTAAACAGAGTAAGTAAACAGAATTTAAGGGTAGAGTCCTGACCCTAAAACCTGTACAATATGAAGACAAGCACAGGGTCTAAAATACACTGAGAAGGGGTCAGAATGCTGGCTCTGCGTGTAAGCGCACTGTGATTTAGTACTGACTTGCACAGACAGGGCCTACCAGTGCAGAGCAAATCAGTTTTCAAAGTATACTGGCATTAATTTTTAAAATTCTACAGCTTGAGATAGAAAAGAATGTCATGTAAAACAAAGTACACTCAAAATAGAATATATTTTCCGTATACCTGTACTGAGAGCATTACTGACAGCTGGTGGAGTTGTGCTAATAGAAAGTCCAGACAGACCCTGTTCAATTTCTGTAGTTCCTGGTGGTGACAAAGACGGGGGATTAACTGAGGACAGCTGGACCTTCCGAAAAAAGAAAGAAAGAAAAAATTACTCGTTTACTTAAAAGAAAATATAAATATTTGCTCTCAATAGTCCTGCAGATAGCTTTTTTGATCATACACCAGCTGTTAGAAGTTTTCACCTGGCACTTCTGCCTTCAGACACTCCTTTCTAATTCTGACACCTGCCAAGGACCACGCAGCACTGTAACAACTTCCCCCTCGCGCCACTTCCCGGCTCTCAGCACATGGCATCTACCCTGTTTCACACACTGTTCGAGCTACTGCCACACCAGGAGCGCCCACTCCCTGCTCCTTCCCGGCCTCCCCAAATCATTGTACTCAACTCATAACACCACCGCTTTCCTCCTCTGAATTCCCACCCAGTTTTTGTTTTTAACTTTCAGTGCTCATGGAAGAAGTTGGCTGAAAGTCTTACTACCATGATAAATCCCTTAGAAGTTTCTCAAGATATCTAACCTCCTAAGTCCATCTTATCTTTTCTCATCAATGAATGAACATGGCAGCCAGATCTTTCCCTTCCAGCAAGGGAAAATCAGTGAGTCTATGTGGATTCTACGGATAGGCGAATGGGTGGTTTTGCCTCTGAATACTCCAACTTCTGCCAACTCCAGTGCCCTCTGGCACATTCCAACATAATTTGCATTCTGGCCCTTTTCTCTCACTGCCATTTCACCTGCTGGTCTTCTTAGGCTGCCCATAGAGGCTCACCTGGTTAGGAGTGGCAGGTATGGTCATGGGAGTCTGAACATGTAACTACACTGGCTCTGGCCATGAGCCACAGGGGGAGCTGGGGAGGGAGCAGAGGTTCCATTTCTCCACCGCTCCTCTTCACTGCCCCGAGGATCGGGGCTGGTCCAACTGTGTAACTAAAACGAGAGTGGTAGCAGCCCTCTCTTTACAACTGTAGCTTTTTCTTTTTGCATTTTTAGTCATGCAGACAAGAGTTAACTGTCCTGTGAGGCCTGCATAGAAAATATGTTAAAAGCCTATAATCCTGTGCATAAATATCTCTTATTCCTTAAAAAGCCTCACTTTGATCCTGTAGTAGTCCCCACACACCTAGCATTCTTTGCTTTTCCAGTCAAGTTTCTTGAAGTAGTAATAAGCACCAGCTATCATCACCGTATCACTCACCACTCACCCTCTATCTCCGTAAGGCTGCATCCTGTCAAGTCTCGGAAATTGCTCTAGCACAGGACATGTTTTTTCACTCCCTCTCTCACTGACTTCTCTGCAGTACCTCACATAGCTGACTATGCCCTTTTTCTTGAAGTTCTGTTCTCCCCTTGGACTTCTGAGCTTCCTTTGCTGGATCTCCTTTCTCTGCTCATCCATTTAAATACCAGGAATGTTCAAGATTCCGACCTCAGTCCTCTGACCCAGTCAGGCCCAATCCCTTGACAACTTTTATCAGTGCTCACTGGATTAAATGATCCTCTCTTGGCTGATGATCTGTATTCTCTAACCTTGTCCTCTTTCCTTAAATCCAGACCCACAGGGTATCCATCGGGATATCCTATAGGAACTTCAAATTCAATGTGGTCAATACTTAGCTCATCACCTGCCCTATCTCAATTAGTGCTACTACCACACACATCAACACGACTCATTTTGGTCAAAACCTTATGCTAGAAACCTTATGCTATAATCGGCTCATGAAGTTATCTTACCTCCGTAAACCCATCTTTAAGAGGAGTAATAGGTGTTCCAGTCATCTGTCCTGGAAGAGAAATTTTCTTTCCTTCTTCAAAGGGACGTGTAGGTATTCGATGCAAATAGCCATATCCAATGCCACATCCTAGGCTATGAAAATATTTTTTTTCTTAAAGTTATTGTTATCAATCACAGCTTGCATTTCATCAAGGTTTTGAAATATAAAAACAAATTTCCATTCTTTAAATAGTGTTATCTTATCAGAGGTCTCCTCTGACCACTGTTTTATGAAACGGCATCCTTCCCTCCACCACAGACACTACCCTTACTTGTCTTAATTTTTCTTCAAGCATTTATCACCATCCAACCCCCTGCATATTTATTTGTTTATTTTCTGTCTCCCCCAATAAAATGTTAAGGTCCTTGAGGGCAGAGGCCTTGTTTGGTTTCCTGCCTTAACAGCTCCTGGCACATGGTAGCCACTTAATCATTATTTGCGGAACAAATGACATACAGTCTTTCCACTGAAAAGCTCCAAACACTTCTGTATAATCAAGTCATTTATACATCCCATAGTTCTGTTTCAGAACCTGACACAAATCAATCCAAATTAATCCAGATTCTTTCTAATTCATCCTCCGACTGCCACGAGAGTCCATCTTTTTAATAAGATGTGATCACATTGCTTCTTTCCATAGTCTGTTGGCCTCCCAATCTTCCTTTTTCCTTCTTTCCTTTGGAGAATTACTTCTGTGCCACTGTGTGCAGTGCTGGTGAGACTGTCAATCAGGGGCCTCTCTTGCCCAAACCAAGGAGCAGCTAATGAGCTAAGCCTGGCCAATCCATCTCTTTTGTCCATGGCTACAAACCTTGGGAGTGACAGAAAAAACAAAAACTCCTCCCTTCAGTAGAATGCTGATGCAAGTGCTAATTAGTCCTTCTTCTCAAAATCCCTAGAGGTAGGTGTTGGGAGTCCTGTCCTTTCCAAGTCTGATTCTTTAGCTATTTCTTTGATTATATATGCAAGACTCCACAGCAATAAATTCATGTCTGCTTATGACAATGAGTTGGGTTTTACTGTTCGGAACCAAAGAACCTCCACTGATACAATATCATAGTCCCACTGCCCAAAGTCTATCCAAATTCCTGACCACAGTATTTCAGGCCCTTCACAATCAGGTTCCAGCTATGTTTCTATCATGATTGTTATTGCCCAAACTACCTGACACTTCCTGAGTAGGCCATCCACAGGTATCTCTGTGCCTCTCCCCTGCCACGGCATTTATTACTTCCATGGGTACCACTATCACCAAAAACTGGGAGGGCAGGCAGTGGCCAACTTCAGCTCTCCCTTATCCAAATCTGATTTTGCAGTGATGCTTCACATTATGGAATTACTTGTTCCTTCTTCTCCCACTTTTCCTCCCTTCTACTGTCCAAACTGCAATTCTCACTGAACTGGATCTCATAAATGTGGAGAAAACAAGATTAAATAATGTATAGCGATCAGAGGTAGCTGTATTTTAAAATGAGGTGCTTATTAATCAAAATAACTAAGTGCTGGTAGAGACAATAGCCAGGCAACAGCAAGACCCTCTGCAAACTCAGAGTTAGCCTAAGAACGAAACTAAGAGAAATATGCTGTAATGAATGAAATGTGGTCAGCCTCTGAGGAACAAATGAAAACTCGAGGCAGACATATGTCAAGTGAGGGGAGACTCAGGAATATGGGCCTAAAGCAATGATTGATCAATGGTACTAAACCATGTCAAAAGGAAAAATGTCTTCCAAAGAAAGAAGTAGTTGCCAGGGTCTAGAAAAGAAGGGCTCTAGGATGTAGCAGTATTTAATCAGTGTAATTAAAAATTGAAGAACTAGTGATGACTTCACCACCAAGAGAATCTCTTCCTTGCACTTTGATTCCAGGCTCACCAAGCACTCTTGTGGTACTAATCTGACCTCAGAGTTCTACCTGGAAAAGGGGCATTTTCTTCTGTAAACTGAAAATTGGCCATTCTAATGAATACAGCAGATTCTTTGCAAATTTAGTTTATATGAGGCAGTCCCTCTGAAATGCCTTGAGAGGGTCGTATTTCTGTGTGATTATAAACTTGGACAATGGGCAATGATAACTTGGTCAAGTACTTCCCCAGACAGGGCAGATTCTTAAGATTATACCACTATCTCATTTTCTCAAATTGCATTCTGGTGGTAACATATGTTCAGCAGAATTTCAGGCAGTGTGGGTAAAGATATTGTGAGCAAACAGAGGCTTTCTCTGCCTGAATCAACTAAGTCATCCTTTCCCCAGCAAATGCTGGAACTTGTGCAGAACACTTGGAAGTTTCCAAACCCTAGGCTTTCCCATAATTACGGCTTATGTTCAGTAATTCCTCAAATTAAAAAAGGCTGCTGTTAGGGCATTCAAAAATAGTGAAAAATTTGTACAATCTAAACAACAGCTGAAAGACCTAAAGAAGCAATATAAATCAGCATGCTTTGCTGTGGTCTGGCTTTTTGAAATTAGGGAACTGACTTGATGAACAGTACCAGACAATGGATTTTATAGTTTGCTTATCTGCTTGACTTGATCCTCTTTCTATATGCTTTTTATTATTGCAATTTTGTTTAACATTTGGTTAAAATCAGCCTCTTTCTGAAAGCCAACAGTTTCCACAAAGTGCCAAGAAATTTTCCTAGCAGCTACCTAGTTACACTGTACTGACACACTGCTGGGCAGGGGAACTGGGAAAATAAAAAATGAAAAACCATTTTATGAAACTAACAAAACCAAACCAAAAAAGACTGTTTAAGTGTTCAATCAATAAAGAAAAGGACTATAGTCTACGAGGTCAGACAATTAAGTTCACAAACTTGTTGCACCAATGTTGCTAACCTTTTTTTATATCAGAGGGATTATTCATTATGAATTTGTACCAACTAGACAAACAAGTTAACCAAGTTTACTATTTGGAAATGCTGAAAAGGCTGTGTGAAAAAGTTAGACAAAAACGGCCTGAACTTTTCGCCAACAATTCATGGCTCTTGCATCACGACAATGCACCAGCTCACACAGCACTTTCTGTGAGGGAGTTTTTAGCCAGTAAACAAATAACTGTATTGGAACACCCTCCCTGTTCACCTGATCTGGCCCCCAGTGACTTCTTTCTTTACCCGAACATAAAGGAAATGTTGAAAGGAAGACATTTTAATGACATTCAGGACATCAAGGGTAATACGACGACAGCTCTGATGGTCATTCCAGAAAAAGAGTTCCAAAATTGCTTTGAAGGGTGGACTAGGTCCTGGCATTGGTGCATAGCTTCCCAAGGGGAGTACTTCGAAGGCGACCATAGTGATATTCAGCAATGAGGTATGGAGCACTTTCTCTAGGATGAGTTCCCGAACTCAATTTTCCAATCTTGTATATACCATGCTCCATAAATACATGCTTTAAAAAGTGAATTACTGGGTTCAATATTCTAGGTCAGTTATTTTCTATTCTCAAAAGAAGTCTTATAATAAACCAATAACTTGTTTCAAAATAAAAAAAGTCAATGTTTATAACACATCTGACTACATTTAAGCAGTAGTAACAGTCTAAAAAATAACCTTACCTGCCTTCTCCACCCCATGCAGAATTTGGTGTAATAATCACTTCTCGACAGTTATCAGTATCTGTGTTATACACATAAAGTTTCAATGGTTTCGCTTCATGTGTTTCAATAAGGCTGAACAGATCTTCAGACTGCAAAAGCATCACAGGGGAAAATTATTTTCACATTACTGAACTTTAAAACAGTGGGTCTCAAACATGGCTAATATCTTAATAGCCAGGAAAATTTAAAAGAAAAAAACCACACACAGATTCTGGGCCCTCACCCAGAGATAAAAATCACTGTTAAAACCAATACTCTAAACAAGGTTTAATTTAATATATTACCTATCTACTATGTGCAAGGGTTTATGTTCCATAAGACCTAGTCAGCAATATTAGTAAAACTCTTCGCACCCAAATTCTACATATTCTGCTTTTGCTTTCCATTATTAAGACCTGGTTATCTGGGCACCCTATATTTTCCTCTCATTTTTGATTAGCAATACATATTTCTACTAGCTAACAGGCAAGGAAAGGGATCTGACTAACATTGCTGAGCCAATTTTGTTACCTTCAAAAGGGAAGAGAAAATGAAATCAATAACCAAAATAAGGATTTGATTTAGTCCTGAGATACACAGAGATTGATGTATACCATATACAAAATCTGTGCAGCTGTTACACGGCATGTGTTCTTCCTCACATCTATACCTAATAAGATACCTCCCAGATGTTCTGTTTAACATCCTGAGGCATAAGCTATCTTGAACAGCAAAGACCTAAATTTCAACTCTAAATGTAAAGTATGCAAATACACTTCTGACTTGAAACACTAATTTAAAAATGCTATATAATTTTCATTATTAATAAACACACTAATTACCTCATTCATGACAGTATCTGCTCCAATAATATAATCACTGTGAGGTCTAAGACCTGCCAGTGCCGCAGGAGAATTTGATTCCACTTCCTAAGAGGACACAAAAACACACCCCAAAGTTAATGTATATAACATAATCTTCCAAATTTTATAGTTCATGGTCCTTAACTATAGTGATTAAAAATCCCCATATTTCTGTTTTTCTAGAGACAATGTTAGAAACTACAGAATACAAATTTCTAAATTTGCCAAGCATAAAAATTATGTAATATTTAATAAATATTTCTGTAGCTATCTGCTTTAACATATCTCCTTCTAATTTATCCTTCTAATGGATAAATCATTAGAAAAATAGTTCTTGGGCCGGCCGAGTGGCTCAGTTGGTTAAGAGCTCGCTCAAGAGTTTGAGCTCTGAGCAACAACAGTTCGATGCCCGGCCTGAGCTGAGCTCTGCCACTGAGCTGCCAACAGGTGGCAGGATGGCTCAGCTAAAAAAAAGAAAAAAAGAAAAATAGTTCTTAGGGATCTATATTTGCTCCTCTTCCTTATGTTTTTTTTAAAATTAATCCTTATTTTAAAAGCAATGAATTCTGATTTTAAGGAACTAGAAATAGCCTAAAAATATTAATCTTTATTAAATATTAACCCCTACAATCTCACCAAACTGGAGACAATCACTGTTAAAACACCTTTCTACACTGCCTTTTTTGTTTTGGTTTGGTTTTTATATTGATTTTTAAAAAGTTAGATAAGTAGCAAAAGCTATTTAAATTTTTTTATGTTGCTTTTACATTTTATTATTATTAACAAGGCTCTACACCGCTTCTTAAACTCCAAGTAACAGCTCACAGTAGATACCTACCAACACATGCCAAACGTTTTCATTTGCCCCATCAAAGCTGCAGAAACGAATGCTTACTCCCAACAGGCCCTGGCCACCCCACAGGTTACTTGGTGTGACTGAGGTCTCTCGCAGCTCCAGTGTTTTACTACTGTAGATAAGCATTTTTACAGGCTTTTCAACATTTGCTTTCAGTAGATCCTTAAGGGTATCATTGTCTTTATTCTGTGAACACATAAAATTATTTTTCTTAATAAGTAAAAAATTAATGTTACCGTATTTGCCGGCGTATAAGACGATTTTTTGGCCCTGAAAAATATGCCTCCAAGTGGGGGGTCGTCTTATACGCCAGGTACACTTCAGATAGACTGCCCATAGTGCTTGCCCCGTGCCATAGTGGCCTCCCGATGCCCGCCCACTTCATTCCACATACCGTTCAGGCATCAGCAGCGCTGCTGGGTGTATGCTCGGCTGTTATGCGATTTTGCTGTTATGCGATTTTACCACACTCGCAAAATCGCACACAGCCGACCATATAACAAACTCTGTATTTTGAGTGGAAATGTTAGGGGGTCGTCTTATACGCCGAGTCGTCTTATACGCCGGCAAATACGGTAACTGTTTTAGCTTAAGCATCTTATGGCCCTACTGGTGTAATATTAATAATCAACATAAAACATTCAATGGGCAAAGGTTTCATTAACATTCAAACGTTCCTCCAAGCAAAAGAATGTTAGGCAATTAAGAACAACTCTTATGTTAACTACAACTTTTGACCTTTTTCTAATAGCTGACTACAGACTGTGGAATCTGCAACCCAACATAAATTGAAGTGATCTAGGGCTTCTGTGAAAAAAAACCCAAAAATACTCCATAAGGAGTGATATTACTAATAGAGTTGGTATGACATTGATTTTAAAATCTAAAACATTTGCTGGCGTTGAAGTTTAATTTTGGATTCTACTCCTAAATATACATTTTATTTATTTATTAGGAACTGGCAGGAAAAGAAAATGGAAGCTTTATGTTAAATATTTCATTACATAAGTGAATAAAGGCCAAAATGTAGATGTTGATAAGTGATAAATACTTAAGATTGTTGTGAAAAAAATAAGCCAACCAAGTAGCCATTGTCATAACAATTTCCTTTGCTGAAATTATATAATTCCCTTCCTATAGGACCTTACTACAGGTAAACCGAAAGTAACTTATAAAAAGTGGTTTTAATTCTGCACTTTTGGAATATATCTTTCTGACTGGCTCTGGTAGGTAACATTACTTATATATCATGGAACTCAGTTCCAAGAAAACTGACAAATTATTTGAAAGTCTTTACTAATCCATTTGTTAATAGCCTACAAAAGTTTGAATCTTTGAAAAAGCAAACCTTTCACCTTAATTATTTCTTTCTGCTTAAAAATTTTAAATATTTAACCTATACAGTAAAAGTCTCCAATGATTTTATTCCCATAAAATAATTGATAGATGGAGGTATAGTATTCTATATTTGACATTTTCAAATGTTTACTAACACATGATTATTTTCATAAACTGGTATCATACTCTATATGTTTGTAGCTAACGAGTAAACATCCATCCCAGATAATCTGAAAAATTCCATTTTCAAAAGATGACAAAAAATTATAACCAAAACTACAAAAAGCTGAACTTACTAATCTCGAACCATTAATAGAAACAATAAAATCAAAGAACGGCTCCAGTCCAGCTCTATGTCCTGGGGAATTTTCTTGTACCTGTAAAAACAAAAATGCAAAAATGAAAAATGCAAAGCTTAATTAAAAACTATAAGCAAATTTTTAATACCTATCTCTTCTGTAAAAGTAGATTGATTTCATTGATAAGGAAATACAGATACACACTAGTTCTCTCATTTCTCTTCATCTCTCCCAGATTACACCTTTGCAGCTTCCTAAATTCCACTCATTCAAGTTCATCTTTTTATTTATTTATATTTTTTATTGTTTTCTAAAATACTTTCTGCTTTTACCTTTTATTTAAAAAAAACACAATTAAAATATAGCTAACAAGCAATATTATATTAGTTTCAGGTGAACATCATAGTTATTGAACAGTACCCACCTGGCACTATATATCGTTATCACCATATTATTGACTACATTTCCTATGCTAAAGATGTGATCACCATTTAAGTCCAACAACCATGTGACACCATACCATGCTATCAACAATATTAGTCACTATTTTTCCTATGTTGTATATTATATCCCCAAGACTTATTTTAGGGGGCTGGCCAAGTGGGGAGTTGGTTAGGAGTTGGCTTGGGATGCCAGCTCTAAGCAGCAGGGCCGCCGGTTAGAATCCCACATGAGGCCAGTGACGCTGTACCCTCTACAGCTAAGATGGTGAACAAACAGCTCGACCTAGAGCTGGGCTGCCATTAGTCACCGGCAACGGCGTAGGCTGCAGTGGGCTGCCATAAGCTACCGTGGGAGGCTGGCAGCAGGCGTGAGCTTTCGTTAGCTGCCGCGAGCCACTGTAAGCAGCCATCCAATGGCCTGAGAGCGATTGCCTCACCCGGGAAGAGCACAATGATAATACCAACATGGGCCAGTGAAGCGACGTCCTCCACAACTAGACTGAAGAACAAAAGGACAGCAACTTGTTTGTTCCCCTTCCTCGATTCCTCAACATTGTTCCCCTCCCCCAATTAAAAACAATAAATAAAGACACTTCATTGGTGATTAAAAGAAGAAAGAGAACTAGCATTTAGGAAAAAAAAAAAAAAGACTTATTTTAAACCTGGAACTTTGAATCTCTTATTCCCTTGTCCTTCCTCCACTTTTTCAATTTTTCAGTTACAGTTGACATTCAATATTATTTTATATTAATTTCATACAGGATAAATTAAGTACAGGATGGTGGTTAGGCATTTACATAATTTATGAAGTGATCCCCCTGACTAGTACCCACTTGGCACATAGTTATTACCATATTATTCATTATATTCCTTCTGCTTTACATCCCCATGATTATTTTATAACTACCAATTTGTATTTCTTAATCCCTTCACCTTATTCACCCTGCCCCCAACCCCTCTCTCATCTATCGCCCCGATAGATCTAGTACCCATCTGACACCATACATAGTTATTACAATATTATTGACTATGTTCCTTACCCTACATCCCATGACTACCATGTAACAACCAATTTGTACTTCTTAATCCCTTCCCCTTTTTCACCCATCCCCAAACCCGCTCCCACCTGGCTACCATCAAAATGTTCTCTGTATCTATGAGTTTGTTTCTGTTTCATTTGTTTATTTTCTTTACAGTCCACTTATAAGTGAAATCATATGACATTTGTCTTTCACTGTCTAACTTACTACACTCAGCACAGTACCCTCTAGGTCCATCCATATTGTCACACATAGCTGACTTCATTCTTTTTTATGGCTGAGTAATATTCCATGGTATAAATGTGCTACTGCCTCTTTATCCATTCAGGAATACCCAGGTTGCCTTCATATCTTGTCCACTGTCAATAATGCTGCAATGAACACATGGATGAGTATGTCCCCTCAAAGTAGCATTTTGGGTTTCTTTGGATAAATACCCAGAAGTGGGATTACTAGGTCACTTGCCTCTTGTTACAGCCTTTGTTTTAAAGTCTATTTTGTCTTTAAGTAGTGTTACCCAGCTTAGTGTTACCCAGTACTATAAGTAGTGTTACCCAGCTTTTTTGTTTATTTCTATTTTCATGAAATATCTTTTCCCATCCCTTTACTTTTAGTCTGTGTGTCTTTTGATCTGAAGTGAGTCTCTTATAGGCAGCATATGTAAGGGTCTTGTTTTTTTTATCCCTTATCTTTTCAGCTCCCCTATCTTTTGATTGGAGCATTTAATCCATTTACATTGAAAGTAATTGTTGGTAAGTATGTAGTTATTGTCATTTTTTTTCTTTTAAGAAGGGTGCAGCTCACAGTGGCCCATATGGGGATTGAATTGGCTATTTTCCTTTTATTATTCATATTTTTAATTTTTTTCATCTTAAGGAAGTCCCTCTAAGATTCCTTGTAATACTGGTTTGGTTGTGATAAATTCCTTTAGCTTTTTCTTATCTGGGAAGTCTTTATCTGTCCTTCGATTCTAAATGATAGCTTTGCTGGGTAATCTTGGTTGTAGGTCCTTGCTCTTCATCACTTTGAACATTTCTTGCCAATCCCTTCTGGTCTGCAAAGTTTCTGCTGAGAAATCAACTGATAGCCTTATGGGAGCTCCCCTGTAGGTAACTGCTTCTCTTGCTGCTTTCAAGAATCTCTCTGTCTTCAACATTTGGCATTTTAATTATGATGTGTCTTGGTGTGGTGTTGCCCTCTTTAGGTTCATCTTGTTCATCAACGCTCTGTGCTTCCTGGGCTTGTATATCTATTTCCTTCTCCAGGTTAGGAAACTTTTCTGTCATTATTTCTTCAAATAGGTTTTCAATTCCTTGCTCTCTCTCTCCTCCTTCTGGTACCCCTATAATGCAGAAGTTGGTACACTTGATGTTGTCATAGAGGCCCCTTAAACTCTCATATTTGGGGATTCTTTTGTTTTAAGTTCATCTTCTACATGAGGTTTTCCCTTGATAGTTCTATTTCACACCACTTGCCACTTTTTGGAGATGGCGGGGGGTGGGGGGGGGGCGCGGCGGCAATCCTCCCAGCATTTAGCACATGACATAACAGTTAATTATTACTACTGAGCGAAAAATTAAAATTAGTGAGCATTTATTCCATAACTACTACTAGCAAGGTACAAATCAATTATAAAACTAATAATATAGAAACACAGACATTGACGTCACAATATTTATAATCTGTTGAGGAACAGGAAAGAAGAGAAAGGGGAGCCAGAGGTCATACAGCCCTCTTAATAACTGTAATACAAGACCAAACAAGTAAGGACTAAATGGAGGTACAAAGTTCTAAGGGAAAGATTAATTCTGATTGTGGAAGCTTCACACACACACACACACACACACATACACACACACACTTGAATTGTGCTTTAAAAAGGAGACAGACTTTCAAAGATGAAGATGCACAAGAGGATAAAGAAGGGCACCTGAAAGTTGAAATGAGTAAAAACTCAAAAGGAGGAGTCTGAAAAATGAGGATCATAACATAGTACAGCTAGAAAACAGGGTGGTGTGGGATAGAAATTAGAAATTACAGATTTTCAAAATCAGAAATCCTCTAATCCAAGAGGTCGGTGGGTTCAGGGAACACTGCAGCTCCTGAAATTATACGTAACATTTTGTATGAAACAGCAGTTTTCAGAATGTATAGATCAATGGCTTTCATCAGGTCCTCAAAAGATTTTTCCATGACACAAAGTATTAAAACAAATTTTGTGCAATTCTTTTATTGTACAGGTGAAGAAACCACCCTGTGATTTGCCTATGGTCCTATACCTGGCTAATGGTAGAGGTGAAACTCAAAAGTACTTTCTACAACTATTAGTCCAGAAAGGAGGCTGCTGGAAAGAAAGGGTACAGCCAGATTGAGAGGACACTAAATGGAAGATTAAGCTTATCTTGCTTCTCAACAACCCACATGTTTATCATCCCAACTTTAAAATGGATTAAAACTTATTAAATTTTCTAAATTTGCAGTATTAAAAATATTAGCAACTAACAATAGTAATATGACAAAAAAATAAAAAACCCCAAAAAGTTAATACAATGCATTTTGCATTTCTCCTCTAAAATATTTTCATAATGTTTTAAGGAATTTTTATTCTGCTTGATGTTATTAAATACTGCCAAAACGACCTTATGAAAATGAAGTTTGCACTGATATTTGTAGGCTGATTTTCTGCAATAGTCCAAACAGTTATAATACTTAATTCTAAGGCTATACAAATAACAGATACACATATTCATCCATACACAAATCTGCAACTATTTACACAGTAACAAATATTTTTAATGCTTTAAAAATGGAAGCCAGAATGTTTCCAGAATACGTCCCTCTAATGCCTGACTTCTTGGATTCATGGTACATTCATTACTTCTTGGATTAATGTTACCTTTTATTTATTTAAAGCCCAATTATGCTATCATTGCCTCTGAAAAAGTAAAATAAATACATAACAAAAAAACAAACAAATCTTCATTTGTCATTGTAAGAAATAGCTGTCCATTGTAAAGATGGTTCAATGTTTAACTTACTAAAACTGTTTGATCTTGCTTTATGCAAAGTTGGGACTAAATTATTTTTGTAAATTAAAGTTAAATATCAAAGGGATTTAAAAGTGTTAAATCTAATAAAAAATAATCAATACACACTTGTTTAGTTGCTGTATACTGTTTTCTTAAATGGGGGATATTACACATATCACCAAGTAAAATGCCTAGAATCTAAAATGGCAGATAGACTTCTTCTCAAATGGCAACTCTGGAAGGAAAAAGGTGGCTGCCTGGAGCTATTATGAGAAAAAAGTGAGGTCAAGTCACAGTCAGTTGAGAAACAGTCAGGATCTACTAGGTGTGAAATGCCTATTAGTTGCCTATTAGATAGGTGTAAAACGCTTCAGGTGTGAAAAGAGGATAATTAGCACAGACTCTAGGAGCTCCCTCAGAGTGAAGGTTTTATTTAATAGTGTCCATGTCTAATTCTGTTTCCAAATGACCATTTTATCTAGAAACCAACTAGTCCATTGATCAATTTCAGATTTCTCCATTGAGGCTGCCAAAAGTTGACCTTTTAGTTAAAGAAGGGCTAAAGA